CTATTTCGTCTGCATGAGTTTTTTTACTAGACATATAATAGTCTATAATGTCTTGTGGAATTCTTTCGATCAATACAATCGGATCTATAGATTCAAAAATTATAAATATTTTATGTAAAATATATAAATTGTATATTAAAATATATTAATATAAAATAAATTAATCTTACTCATACGTTTGTCTGCTTCGGATGGTATTTCCACATTAATTGAATTTGATTTGTTTTTAGTAGATATCTTAGCTTTTGACTTATTGCGAGTTAGATTGTTATGTTTCAAAATTAACGCATCAGAATTTTTTACTTGTCTTTTATTGACAGTTGTTTGTTTTTTAGTAATTTTCTTAACATGGCTAACATTAAGTGTCTTTTTTGCTTGAAACGTCTTGGAAGTTTCAGGCTTTTCAATCGTTGCANTTTGGAAGTTTCAGGCTTTTGAATCGTTGTATCCTCGTCTTCATAAAATGTTAAAAGATCTTTATAAAATTTTATAATTTTACGTTTATTTGGACGTTTGCCAATATAATGAGGATTTGTACGTATGTTGATGTTGATGACAGGAGTTCTATTCTTTTTTCGATACGTCTTGTGGGTTTCGGAATTGTTAATTCTTACATTTTCTTGTTCACCAGAATTATTTACTATTTCGTCTGCATTAGTTTTTTTACTAGACATATAATAGTCTATAATGTCTTGTGGAATTCTTTCGATCAATACAATCGGATCTATTGATTCAAAAATTATAAATATTTTATGTAAAATATATAAATTGTATATTAAAATATATTAATATAAAATAAATTAATCTTACTCATATGTTTGACAGCTTCGGATGATATTTCCACATTAATTGAATTTGATTTGTTTTTAGTAGATATCTTAGCTTTTGACTTATTGCGAGTTAGATTGTTATGTTTCAAAATTAACGCATCAGAATTTTTTACTTGTCTTTTATTGACAGTTGTTTGTTTTTTAGTAATTTTCTTAACATGGCCAACATTAAGTGTCTTTTTTGATTGAAACGTTTTGGAAGTTTCAGGCTTTTGAATCGTTGTATCCTCGTCTTCATAAAATGTTAAAAGACCTTTATAAAATTTTATAATTTTACGTTTACTTGGACGTTTGCCAATATAATGAGGATTTGAACGTATATTGACGAGAATGGAGTTTAATTTTCTATGTCCAGTTTTTAGATGGCTTATAGTCTTTTTGGTTTTGTTTTTCATGTTTAAGTTTTCGTGCAGAGATATAAATTAAATATCTGACTAAAAAAAATCAAATATTAAAGAGGTTTTGGGCAACTTTTGTGGGGTTTTCGGGCTTAAGAAAATTTCCGTGTCACACCTAAATCGCCCGTGACTGTTAAAAAATATTAACTTAAACAATATAAATTTGTAGTCATGGAAACAAGAAGAAAAATTTATATAAAAACAAATAAATTGGAATAGACAATCGCTTATACATTATGTAAAACGAAAAATACATTGGCCATTAAAACTTTTAGCCAGAAAAATTAAAATTAAAATTATATTTATTGTTGTAAAAGTTTGTAAAATTTCCATTTTTGAAAAACTACCCTCATGATTGAATTTTCAACCCTCTTGAGGCACGGCTTAGGGTTGACCAAAATTAATGAAATTTGACACAAATTATTTTTTTATAGTTTTGAACAAATCCCGGGGGTAGCCTGTTCAAATTTAAAAAAATGAAAATTAAGGACCACCCTAATATTTATAATGAGCCAATTAAATGTTTATTGAAAAATGCCAATGAAGACCCCTCTTTCAATTTCAATTAAACATTTATTTCATATACTTTTGTTTAAATGTTTGATTTTTCTTAATGTTTACTATTTTTATATTACTGTTTTTCTTTTTCTTTTTCTTTTTTTTGTTTTGTTTTTGTTTCATTTTCTGTAACTATATTTTTGTATAATATGGATCAATCTCGTTGAATAAAAAAATAAAAAATTGTCATTGTCGTAACGATCTTTAAATATAATCAAAACTATTAGAAAAATGTTTCAACGAGTATTGTTTAAACTAGTATGGTTTAAACAATGTTCAAACATACTTAAAAGTCTGTAAGACGATATCTGTATATTTACTTGTCTTTCTGTAATTATAAAAACATTTAAAAATTGGTTTTTGTAAACTTAGTAATTAAATGTGTTAAAAATTAATTTTGACACGATTTCTTTGAGTAAATACGATGATATTAAAAATAAATACTACTCGTGTTTAAAACTAAAAATATATTTTCTATAATCTTTAATTTTAAATTAATATTAGACATAAGTGACCAGTTCTTATTATATACTTATTGCATATCTTGATTCAAAAATTTCGCTTTTAAAACTTAATTTGCAGTGTGACAAAAATAATAAATGAATACATATATTTTTATACAAATAAATTTATAATAGCTTTTGACTTAAAAAAAAACATAAATTCTAACTCTGTGTGTTGTGTAGCATTATAAGATTTTGTTCTGGTTCTTATAATAATCATTAAGAGCTATATTTGACTCACTCAAGAAAGTAATGCTATCGTCATATATCAAATGAACAAAAATAATAATAAAAAATGTCACATTAAAAGTGTCATTTGAAACTTATAAGTTTTGAATATGAATGTAAAATCTTATAAAGGTGATAATGGTCCTTAAAACTCAAGATTTGGCTTTACCTATTATGTTATTTGTGCAGAACGATACAATTAATACTGTCAAAGTAGTGAGAACTTTCAAACTTGACCTTAATAATTTATAATGTATAGCATAGTAAATCTTTTTTCTTTTTTTCTTATTAAATTGACTTATTTTCTAAATGTTGAATTTATAAGTTTTTAAAAATTAAATTTCAATAAACAGTAGGGTTCGTCAACGACACATTTTTGCATATCAATATCGTACTGAATTTCAGTGAAACCATATCGCAATATTGAAAAAAATTATACTGAAGATTACTGACAACAACCCCATACTACTCAGAATATTTCGTGACCTTATACAAGTCCTTATTTTGGAGAACCATGGAATAAATCACCCCCTAAGGATTGATGCTCTCATTAGACCCACTTTGCTGATCAATACGTCAAAAGAATCAGATTTTAATCAGTTGAATTTTTTTGAAAATAACAAAAAATAACCCTCAATTTTAGATGCTTAAAGAATTTGATGTCTTAAAATTTAACAACCGTCAAAAATGGGATAATTTTTCTGCATTTTAAAATTGCAATAAATTTTTTTTAAAATAGCCAAATCATTTTGAAATTTTAATAAAATATACTGAAGACAATAACCTAGATGTAATAAATCTAATATAAAAATTAATTACAAGTAGAATTTGAACGAGACCACCTACACATGTCAAATTTTTTTTCATTTTAATTTATAAAGTTCCTGAAAGTTTGCATTCTTAAGACTTATACCAAATTATGCTTTTCAAATATATTTTCAGTTTAAAAAATAAAACGATAGTTCTTCTAGAAATATTTTTCAGTTTATGTGAAATAAATTAGAAGTTTCCCGTTAAATTTATTTTAATTTTTTCTTTAATCAATCACATTGCAGCGTTTTGTGATATTTGATGTTTTTGGCTGTAAAATATTTATTTGTGATGAAGTCTACTATAATGTATTCTAACTACGCTTGGTCCGGACTGTGCTGGGTTACTTTATTCATAAATTTATTTTTTTTTAAATGTTTAGTAAATATAATTAACGTTTAGGAACGTCTGGAAGTAGTGACTAAGAGGTGCCATTCCACCCCCTGGGATTTTTTGTATTATTAATAAAAAAATAACACGAAACATACAATCCTAGCTAACAATTTTATTAATATAAATTTGAATTTTTGTCTAAATATATGTTGCAGCAACTGTTACTTACACAATTTGTAAAACCAAAATTGTTATATGAAGGAGACATCTCGGTAATTTAATGTATTATATGTTAATTTCTATACTTATACCAAATAGTTAATAGTATAAATAACTAAGTGTTTCATGTTAGGGTATGGAGAATTACCTCAAAATTTAAATTGTTGTCAATAATTTTTGCACCCTTGAAATTTTTTTCTGCGGGCATCACAATCATATCTATTATAATAAAATATACTCTCCCACTCGAAAAAAATCTAAATGTGCCTCTAGTCTAATACAGATTTTAACAGGGATTATATTAATGACACGACTTTACCTCCATTAAGCATACAAGTTTAATAGAAAAGGATCTAATCAATTAAATTTTAAAGAATCAATAGATTTCAAAAGGTTTTGCAAAAGGCAAATTTCTACAAATGTGTTTTGAATAAACATACGAATACTTTAATAACAAAGTTTAAAAAAATGTTTGAATCGTATAAAAATACTTTTTAGATAAATTGATATTTGTTGATAAAATTTTTTTTTTAATTACATTTTTAAAAACTGAAGAAAAAGATTTATAAATGTTATTTTTGTTTTAACTTAATTGCTATTTAAATACAAAACGTCCACACTTTTTACCAGCAAAATATCAATAAAAATATTTATTTTCAGTATCTTCACATGATTTTTCTGAAACAATGTACTACTAACATTATCAATTAGAAATTATATTGATGTTTATGTAAATTTATTACGTATATGGTACAGAAACAAAAAGGTATGAACTATAGACAAAAAATATTTTAAAAAAAATCTTTATTAAGATTACTAATATTAAAAATAATTGATACATTTAACATGACACAATTTATAATTATTTTTATTAGTTACATTAAAAATGATATACAAAAATTATAATCAAATATATATATTTTTTAACTTATAAAAAATTTAGAATAAAATAATTTAGATGAGCAAAAAAATATGTTTGAACATTATAAAATAAGTTTTCATTTTTTCAAAAATTAATTTTGATAAAAAAATATATTATCTATTGATTTTAATTCATTTAAACTGCAAAAAATTAAATGAAACATATTGAAAAAAAAGTTATAAATGTAGATATAAATTTTTTAAGTATTTTTATGTTGCTTACTGTTTTGGTTCAAAGTACTAAAATAAAATCCAAATATTGAATATTTCCAAGACATTTAATTTTAAATGAAAAACTTTTCAATATAGAAAAAATAAAATATTAAAATGGAAATAAACACTATTCTTAAAGAAAAAAATGTATGTAACTATAGCCAGTTATATATTAATATATATATTTTTTGACAAATTACTATATAAAAGTCTAGACATAATCCATAAAATTACGCAATAAGTATTTCACCAATTTTTTTTGTGTTTAAATCATAACTTAAGATTAAAAATTTGTGAATTATTTTTTTTCAGATACAAAATTAATAGAAAAATAATTAATAACCCTGCAGCTTTGTTTATATTACATTATCAAATTTTCTTTAAATAAATCAAATTGTAAGATACTGTATTAACTGTTGAACTATTAAACAGTTTATTTAAAAGTTTTAAGCTTCCTCATTATTGTTTCTTAAGTATTGGTCACAAAAATTAAAATTATTTTTTTTAATTAAAAAAGCTAAAATCTAATATTTTACTTAATTTTCTAATATTATTAATAATAGTAGTTAAAACTTCAGAGTCAAAAATATTTTTAAAAATCAATTAAAACAACAAGTTACCATTGAGAATTTATAGTTTTATTAATAAATGAAAAATATCCAATACTATATTAGTAGATAATTAGTATACTTAAAAAGGCATACTAGTTAAAAATCCATACTAAGTAAAAATCAATATTCATAATCACTGTTTAATCGATTTGTTATTAAGCAATGTTTAAGAAGTTAGTATAAAATTGGTATTATACTTATAGCAACATATTGATCACAAGAGTTCATTTAGGTAAAGTCTTCTATTTTAATATGATTACACTTTACAATAATATCTGTATAAAATCATGAGATTCCCTTTAAAAATAAAATAAGCCTTAATATTTATAGTTATAATTAATAGTAACTACAATAATATTATATCCTTACATTAATATACAAAAAATAAAATGCTTTTGGCATACAAATTTTGCTGTTAGAAAATTTACTTATTCCTATATTAAAAGTTAAATATACTATTTGTTGTATAAATTCCAAAAATGGTAAATAATAACAATAAGAAAATTCAGTCGTTTCTTTCAAATTTCACTAATCTAGTTAACATAGACGTAATACAAGGTATTTGTTTTTGTTGATGCATTAAAGAATTACCAGGAACATTAGATTCATAGTCTGTCGATACTTGACGATTGACAAAAGTCAATAATGTTAAAAGGTCAAGTGAATAACCATATTTGTTTAAAGCTTCACAAAGAGATTGCATAAACCATGATCCTTTTTGAGTATTTCGCCAAGAATAAAAACCTGTAAAAAACTTATCATTATAATATCAATAGCTTAATAGCAGTTAAAATAATTATAAAATAAACTGCATTGAATAATATTTAATTGAGATTTAAAATAGCTTTTTCATTATATTCATAACAATTAAGTCAAAACTAAACAATAATCTTACCAGGAATTGTTGAATATGCAATCAAAAAATCGGCATAAACTGGAATTCTAAATGATTGACTCCCATCAACTTGAGTTCTTAATAAAACTCCACCATCTAATCTATCACCCTGACAGGCTTGAATAAAAAATAATTTAGGTTTACCAGCTAATGTAATACATTTGTCTCCAGTAAATCGTCCCCACAGTTTATCTTCAGGTTTGTATGGCGCATCTTTTGCATAAATTATTCCTTGTTCACCATGAGATAGTATAGCCATCAAAAAACAATCATAATCAGAATAATCCTGGTTAGCCCCTGAAAAAAACAAAAATTTACTATACAAAAACTTTAACAGGTATATCAATTTAAGTGAAATAAAATGTCTCAACTAATTTTTTGTTCTGATTTTAAAACTGTAATTAGACTTTTTTATGGCTTTTAGTTAGGAGATAAATACTAATAAGTAGAAAATAAGTAATAACATATAAAAAAAATTATCAAGTTTTTTTTTTCAAATTATAATTGATTTTGTTTTTTAGTAGTTATTAATAATTGATAAAAAATGTCGATCCAAAATATTACAATTTATTTTATAAATTTAAAATTAACATCATTAAATAGAAAATTTTATGAAGAGTTAAATAATTTTATTGTTTAGATTGATACGTGATCAGGATTTTATATATTTACTATTGACAGTAAATCATTATTTTCTTGCATTTACATCATAATAAATCATTTTAATAGAAATCTTTGTAATCAATTCTATTAAATCCTAGCATTTTAAAAGATATTGCAATTGAAAATTTGAGATCTTAAATACTGAATTATTAAAAAAATTAGATAAAAATGAAATTCAACAACACATCAAAGGAAAAAATAAAAACAAAATTTTTCTATATTAATAAAATTTGACTATGTTCATTAATATAATTGATATATTTTAATGATAAACTTTATCTAAAAATATTTAAAACATTAATTTAAAATTAAATAGTATTAAAAATATTTAACTTAAATTGCAACAAAAAATACTAAAATTTCATATATACATAGTTCAGAAACTATGTTACCATCATTAGAGCTTAACATATACTGAAACCTTCTTCTTCTTCCTCGCCTTAATCCCAACTACTTGGAGTCATCTACAAAACTTTCACTTGACACGATCTCTCACATTAACTATGCTCACATCAGCTGTCCTCATATTGTATTCAATAGCATCCCTCCATCTCTTTTTTGGACTTCCTCTACCTCTTCTTCCTTCAACATTCATTTCTATAATTGTTCTTACAGCTTCCGATTCTTCTCTCCTCATAATATGACCAAACAACTTAAGTCTATTTTCTCTTATCTTATCCACAACTGACCCTACACCTATACTTTTTCTTATATGCTAGTTCTTTATCCTATCTTCTCTAGTTACTTCACTCATCCAACTAAGCATTTTCATCTCTACTACACTCATTCTCTGTTTTACTTTCTTATCAACGGCCTAACACTCTGAACCATACATCATAGCTGAACTCACTACAATTTTGTAGAATTTACCTTTTAGCCTCATTGGAATTCTTTTATCTCATATGACGCCAAACGCTTTCTCCTATTAACACTATATCGTCAGCAAACAACATGCACCATGGCACCTCTCCTTGTATTTTTCTAGTAGTTTCATCTATCATTATAAAGAATAAGTAAGGGCCTAAAGCAGAACCTTGGTGCACTTCTAGTCTTACTCGAAAAACCTTCTGTTACTCCTCCTACGCTTTTTACTCAGGTAAAGTGCCATCATACATATCTTCTACTATATTAATGTACTTTTTCGGGACTCCTTTTCTCATCAATGCCCACTTTAGAACATCTCTCGGTACTTTATCATACGCTTTCTCCGAATCTCTAAATACCATATATAACTTTTTCTTTTTTTCCCTAAACTTTTCTATTAGTTGCCTCACACAAAATAATGGCTTCATTGTTGACATACCAGGCATAAATCCAAACTGGTTTTTAGATACCTATGACTCAGTTCTTATTCTCTTATCTATTACCTTTTCCCAAATTTTCATAGTATGACTCATAAGCTTTATGCCTCTATAATTTTCACACTTCTGTGTGTCACCTTTACCTTTAAATATCGGCACCACAAACTTATTCCTCTATTCATTTGGAATTTTCCCATCTAATATGATTTTATTTAAAAGTTCCTTCAACCACCTTATGCCAACTCCGCCTAATTTTTTCCATACTTCTACTGGCACTTCATCTGATCCTACTGCTTTATTCTTTTTCATTGATGCCACAGTCTCCCATACCTCTTTATCACTCATTAAATCTACCAGTCTCTCATTCTATGAGATATTCTCTAATGTCTCTTTTGGGTACTCCTCATTCAGTAATTTTTTAAATTACTCTTTCCACCTTTTTTACACGTCATCATCACTCGAGAGTACCTTATTATCAACACTTTTTATAGACCTTATATAATGATAATCTTTAGACCTTTTCTCTCTTACTTTGGAAGTCTATAGATTTCTTTCTTGCCTTCTTTTGTTCCTAGCCTATCATACAACTTATACTTTTTAAACTTCGCCCTAACTGCGCACTTGGCTTCTTTACACATGTGTTTATACTCTATCCATTCTTCTCTCAATTTGTTCTTCTGCCATACTTTGAATTACTATTTCTTACTTTCAATGATTTTTTTAACGTCCTCACCCCACCACCACGTTTTTATGTTTCCTGGCATTCTACTCTTTTTGATTTTCCCCTTTCAATTTCCACCACCGAATTTTCGATTTTCCCTTGTGTTCCTTCTATTTTTGTATATTCTCTTTCTGGTACACCACACCTCCATTATCATCAGTCTATGTTGTGTAGTTACACTCTCGCCTGGTATAACTTTACAATTTTTTACTCGCTTTACACTTTTTCTCTTCCACATAAAATAATCAATCTGTGATCTATTCCTCCCACTCTTATAAGTTATATAATGTTCTTCGCTCTTTCTAAAATAAGTATTAACCACAGCACGATCATACAATACTGTGATGTCCCTACAATACAAGCGTTGAGTAGACCTGTACACATGACTGGTGAAACAGCTACCGCACAAGTTGTCCAGCTGGTATCAAACACTTTAATCTTTAGGCCTTCTCCCTTTTTAACTACTTTATTTCCTCTTACCTGTTGTCCCCGCGTATATCCGAGATGGAACAATCCGCCCAAGTTTTGTTCAGGACACCTCATCATACTATTAAACAAAAATTTTACACAGGCTGTTGACCTGACGCAACCTCATTAGTCACCTCTTACAACTGGCAGAGGGGCTGTGGAAGTATTCTTATCCTCTATACACAGGGAAAAGCATTAATAAAAAGTATTAAAAATTAAAATTAATTATTTGAAAAAAATAAAAAAAAATTTTTTTGTAATTTTTTACTTATTATTAATTTAAAAAATTTCTCTTATAAACGATAGGAAATAGAAAAGATATTATTATTGATTTGAAATCAACAATAATTTATAAGAAAGTTCTGTTTCCAATGTTTCTCAATGCCTTAACTCATTTTTGCTAAAAATAACATTAAACTCATTTATGTATTAGACCAATGGATCACACCAAAATTACACTACTCTTATCTTACTAATCCATAAGTAACTACTATTAATTATTTTTATAAATAATAAAATAACAAGTTATTCAGTTAAAAAAGAATTTCAAAAAAATTTTATATTAACATTTTTTTTTTTGTAATAAAAATAATTTGTATGGAGTATACAAATTATTGATATAATATATGGAGTATAAAATTATAGAAATTGTTAGTATTATTTAAACTTACAATGTTCAACTGCGTTGTCAAGATCATCTAACGTTGAATCCAAATAAAGTGTAACTTCAAAACCAAGATTCTTCAGAGTATTTTCTAAATTAAAGCAATCAACTCCAGTACCAGATCTAGATTTTAGTCCACCAACTTTAAAGTTTTCATGATTAAAAATGATAGCTTTGCCCCTATGTTTATGACGCATGTTATAATACCAAGCATCTTTATCAGTTGAACTAATTCCAACACCTTGGCGAGGAGTGCTTTTAAAGCTGTAAGTTAAATGATCTAATATTTAAAAAAATTTAAATTGTACAACTTAAATTTTGTGTTATATATTAATACTAATACCTAGAGGCATTCTCAGAATTAAATCCTGGCTATACTTTATATAGTTTAGTCCAATAATACAGTACTCATTCCTATATTATTGTTATTATTAATACTATTAAATAGAGATAAAGAAAAAATTAAAATTAACTTAGTTTGGATGAAAAAATGTTATGGCAGTATCTGACACTAACTGTTATAAGTTTAAAACTAATTAACCAGCAGCTTTGTTTGCTAAACAAGACTTTATTTTAATAATTGAAGTTGCCATAATTTTCTCACAATTACATTTTAACCAAACGTCCCCCAATAATTTCGGTTATAAAAATTTCATGAGATAAAGATGGTAATATTGATTTTAATAGGTCACTAAAAATAATACAGCGAATTAAAATAAATTACATTGAGTAAAATAAATAAAACTTGCTAGTTTGTAAATTTATTAAAACAGTTAGAAATACATATATAAATAATTGAAATAGAATGTAATTAATTTAAACATGATTTTTTTTGTTTTTATAAGCTGATAAATTATTGTTTTCATCATTTTAATCAGATTATAAAAATATTTGTTTTTCTGTTAACAAATAACAAAAACAAAAAAGTAATGTAATAGTGACTTACATATTACCAAATGCATCGCCAGTATCAGTACCTTGACTCAAACCGTCAATTTGTGTAGTCTGTGTACAACAGGTAGTTGTAGTAACGTCACCATTTTCTTGTCTAAAAAATTTTTTTTTTATTAAATGATAAAAATAATGAAATAAAAATTTATATATATACTTGTTCTTAACGACATTTTTTTCCATTCTAACAAATATTATTCGAAATTGTATTAAATAAACAAAAAATGATATTTTTTTGGATTAAAATTATAATTACTTAAAAAAATTCAATTAAAATTCTAGAATGTAAAAGAATTTACAAAAAATTAATCTAAAAACAAAAGAATAATATGATTTTGTTTGAATATTTCGTTTAGAATCACAATAGCATAGGTAATCAACGATAAGAGCTCATAGTACCAGTGTTACCATTTAAAAAAATCTTTCACTTAGAGGTATACAGATCGATTGATTAGTATACTCGCATAATATTTTTAATAATATTAATAATATAAAACATAATTTTTCTTCTTCCAAAAAAACTTTTTCTACGTTCTATAATACAAACTCAATTTGTTATCGCACTTATAAGTTATTATCAGGGGTCGTAAGTTCATGCACTAAAAAACTAAAAAAAAAGGATTCAAATATGCACTAAAAGCATGAGCGTAGAATGATCAAATTTTGGAGAGAGAGGCTAAACTTAATATTCCCTCTCCAAAAATAGTTTTAACAATGACAATGCATATAATTTTGCTTAATTTTTAGAAGCCTAATTTGTAAAGTTTGGGAGGGACTTAACCCTACCATACTTCACTCGACGCCTATACTAAAAATCTAAAATGAGCATATTTTGAAAGAGCAAAAAATATGTAAAATTAATAGTTTTTTATTATAAACAATAACTTTTTAGTAAAAATTATAAACAAGTAAAAATCAAAAGTATAAATCAACACAATTTGAAACATTTTAGTAATCTTCAAAATTTTATCCTTTTTCTAATTTTCAATCATAATAATAAGATTATTAAAATGTAAATAATTAGGTTTTGAAACATTTGAGTAGATTTGTTGAGTTACACTGAAACGTCTTTCACTTGATATTTTTCTTTTACAAGATTTACAAATTAGCACTTTATTATTGGTTGAAATTATATCTTTGCCAAATTCCGAAACAAAATTTTGCAAACGAACTAAGCTCGTTTGTTTTTCTTTTGGCATTATTTAATGTGAACTATCCCAATACTACTATTTATAATTGAGACTCAAAACACTAATTTTGAGACATTTTCTACATTTACAAGGAACAAGGAATTTTTTTCAATTTTTGAGAATAATGTCTTCGATTAGATACAATATGTGATAATTGACATATTGTTCATCAAAATCCGTCCAGTGAGAGTTAAAAAAAAGTGGTAAAAAAAAAAATACATCATAATAAAATTAACACCTCAGCTTTGCATCTAAGCTAACAAAAATTGACCATTACAACATTTTTCTTAAATTCAAAAGTTATTAGAAAAAATGTATAGTATTTCTTATAATAGTAGATTATAACTAAAGCCCAAGGATTATATAAATTTTAAAAAGTTTTGATGAGTTATTCCAAATATCAGCCCAGTACAAATTTTTATTGACTTAAAAACTTATTAGAGTGCTGTAACAGAGATTATGGTATTGGGGGAATTAGTTTAAAAAATATTTCTACACTCCTACAACAAAGTTACACATACTTGAGACCCTTCAAAGTAACTCAAAGAATACTATTAGGTGCTCACAATACCGAGCACCTATTAATTCTTACCAACAGATATTTAAACTTGAAATAATCCTAAACTCTTTTTAAAAAAATAATACATCTCATTTAAAGGATTAAAAAATTGTATTTCTTATACTTATAATTTGGTTTTAAAAATAACACAAAATAACTTCTCAGCTTTGCATCAAAGCTAAAATAATTATTTTTTTTATACAATTTTATGAGAATTATTTTCAATAAATACAAATAATAAACTTACCTTTTTAACTAATGTTAACAATGAAAATAAAAACACAAATAAAAATGTATGAATATTCATTTCAATAAACAAACATTTAAACATAAATATGTATCAATTGCAAAAAAAAATTGATAGTGCTTAAAAAGAATAATATGAAAAGTTTTAAAAGACTTAAATACATGCAAATGTTAATTATTAAAAATTGTACTTATAAAAAAATTAAATTATAGTCAAGTATCACATAATAAAAAAACATAAAATCCATGTATTTTTAATACATAGTTTTTAGACCTATTATTTAACTAATAATTAGTCTAAAAATATTTATCACACTCCTAGATCAAATCTGTAATAACTCAAAAAAAAATTTTCTCATTCAGAATATGAAAAAAATTGTACCAGGATCTTCACAATCTCTTTAAAATTTAATTTTTTTTCCTGTTATGAGAGTTTTGGTTCAGGTTTCAACTTCATGATAAATTTTCAAATGAAAAAATAAACAGCTTAGTTAGTGTACTTGTAATACATGGAGTTTGTTTATTTTTATACAGATTTTCTTGCATATTGTTTGATTCATAATAAATTGCTACCCTTTGAACAACATAGGTTAGTATAAAATTAATATCTTTTTCAAAACCATAAGTTTCTAATGCACTACATAGTTCAGTTATAAACCAACTTCCTTTACACTCATTTCGCCATGAATAATACCCTAAAATTAATGTAAATATATGTATAGGTAAATATAATTTATATTAAAAATATTTTGGACTAACCAGGAACTGAAGAATATGCAATAAAAAAGTCAGCGCTTAAATGTATTGGAAATGTACATCTTACTCCATCTACTTGTGTGCATAACTCAACTCCTTGGTCTATTAAAATTCCTTGACATGCTTGTATAAAAAATATTTTTGGTTTGCCTAATAAACTGGGACATCTATCTTCAGAAAATTTGTCCCAAAAAACATTTTTTGGGTCATAAATTCTATCTTTTGCATAAATATGCCCATTAGAACCATGACTTAGTATAACAATAACTATACAATCATAATCTGAAAAATCAAAACTGCTCCCTGAAAATAATTATTTTTATAAATAAATAAATAGTAAACAATAAAAATTAATAACATAAGGGGTTTATTTCTTTGCTGTTTTTGATTTACATAAATTATTATTAATATTGTCTTAAATTCTTTGTAATATAGTAAAAACAAAAAAATTGAGTTCAATTATTCATTTAAATATCATTACTTAAATAAATATATAGAATGTCCCACCAGCATTGACATCTTTAATAACTTTTGATCTAACAAATATTGCAAGCTAATTTTTTTTTTCAAAATATTCATTTTTAGCTCTTTTCTTACAATCAATTTTATTGCTCTATAACAACTTTAGGATAAGCACTTGTCGAGTTCCAAGCATTTTATTTAATATATAAAGTGAGGACACACAGGTATTTACAGCTTTTACTAGTACATAATTATAATGCATACTCTACCTATGCTACATACACATTCTATGTATTATAATACTTCAACTCAACAAGAACTTATCCAAAAGTGTAATCGAACCATCAAATTTTTTTGTAAAAAAAGAATTAAAAATGGGTATTTTGAGAATAAAAATAAAATTTCTTTTCTTATTAGAAACAAATAATATAAAAAAAAAGCTTTTAACATAATCTATAACGGTAAAATTATCTAAAAAAAGTAATGAAAAAATTTAATCAAGTTATAAAACATGTCAATATCTGGTAGAACACTTAGTATATCAAATAAATTTATACTAGGGATACTAATATAATATATAAGTGCTTCTAAATTTTATACATAATTGTTAACAATGATATTGTGAACTTTTAAACATGAAACAGTTTCAAAAATTGAGGAAGAAATTTTAGCCATTAAGTCAGTCATACAACTGACTAAATATATATATTTAATTAATATATAATAACATTTAATTTAATTTATAATTTAAGCATTTTTTTTTGTTTTCAATGAGAAGATTATTGTGAACAAATATTTTTAAATGTTAAATTTTCAAACTGCTGAAGCCAAAAAAAATTTTTTTATTTTGATCACAACTTAAAATTTGATTTATTTATTATATAGTTTACAAATTACATTTATCAGAAATTTTTTGAATTTGGTCCAATGTCTTATCATGATACACTTTAGTTTTGAAACCAAGATTAGCTAATGTTACTTGTAATTTTATGCAATCAACATCTGTACCATTCCTTTTCTTTTCATTTGTAAATTTTGCATGATTAAATATTAAAGCTCTGTTTAGTTGTTTATTTTTTTTATGATACCAATTATTTTGTGGATTCATAGATAGTTTATGAGAATTATCACCAAAATCACGAATATCACTAAGCAAAAATAATTAATCTTACAATATTATAATAAAAACTATAAATACATAGAAGCATAATCATAGTTACAATAAAAATTTTGGTGATACTAAATTATTTTTTCCCATCCTAAATCTTTTTTTTATAAAATAAATGTATAATTTTCTACATTTTTTAGACGAGGACTAATTTTTTGTTTGATGGAACATTTATTCCCCTAATAGTATGTATAAAAAATAATGATTAAATATAAAGTTGTATTTTGCCATATAATAAATTTATATCTCTAACATATTTTTTATTAAAAGTAAAAATAAAATGCTATTCTCCTACAAAGCCATCACATTAACTACTTAAATTACTAGAAGAAATCATTGATTATTCCCAAATTTGAAGTTGTGTTCTTAAAGATAATTCTATTTAAAAATTTCTACTTAGAGCAATCCATAATCACTTTTTAATTTATAATTTATAACAAAATAATCAATCAAGATGATATTCTTAATCTTTTCAATTAATTAATTTTATAATTTTATAACCATAAAAAATTATTAATTTATTGGATCTAGATTGAACAATGATAATGTAGTATATTATTCATTATGGAATTTCATTACAATAAGCTAGTAGAATTTAAGTCATTTTTATAGTTAGAAGTATGACCAGGGTGTACAAAAAGTTTTGTTACAAAATATTGTGAGAAAATTCTTACTTCATTAATTTATAACATAATACAACTTATTTTTTTTTTTAACTATAAATTCAATTACAACAGAATGTTCAATAAATATGTAAATAGAGAAATCATTTTCGTACTTATTGAACAATTTTGATACAATAAAATCTCATTACAATAATAATTCTGTTAAATAATGATACAAAATATACACACTTGTATTTAAAAGAAATGTTTTCAATTCCTTTAGTTTTATCTAATTTATTTTTACTACTAATAATGCCATCAGTAGAATCTTCCATTGAATATGTTTTCTTACTAAAGCATCAATAATTTTCAAAAAATATTAAATTAACATAATTATATATTATTTATCAGCATTTAGAAAACAATAACAATTTACAAAATATTAAAGAAAAATTACTAAAAACGTTGATATAAACTTTAACGTATGTTAATGATATTTCTAATAAATAAATGATATACCACAAAATATATAAAATCTTATCTAAACTATGATTATACTATCTTGTGTTTAACCCTGTTAATGTGAGAGATTATTAAGCAACTGGTAGATAGAAAGTTTTACCCTCTCTGAGGGTTATAATCAAATTTAACCACATAATAATGATAAACAAAAAAAAACAGGACCTCCTTGCTTTGCTTTTGCTGATTCTAACCCATAGATTAACCCATTACTCTAGGTTCTAACCCATTTAGTTTTATCATAAATGGACAACGATATTGTTTACACTAAAGTAATACTCATATCGTTGACATACCATAGAAATTTACTGAATGATTCTTTTCTCATTGAACACTCAGATAATTGAAAAATAAAAATAATGAGATTTTTCTCCTTTTAGTTACATATTTTTTTCAATTTATCAATAATAAAATACATTGGTGGCTTGTGGGTGCTGATGGTGGGGATAAAACTTCAAATATAACAACGCTAGTCATAGGTATAAAAAATTGTCAAATTAAATATAATAAAATAAAACACAATACACATATTATTATTTTAAAGGTCGCAATAAAAAATAATCATAGGTATAAAAAATTGTCAAATTAAATATTATAAAATAAAACACAATACACATATTATTATTTTAAAGGTCGCAAAAAAAAAATAATGAATATATTATTATAACAACCGATAACGACAAGCAATTAATTCTAAAAATAAATTTCCTAATATAGTAACATACTAATATTTTACCGTATGGACGACGCTGCCGATTATTCAAACACTGCTTGTATGTGCATACGTACCCGCATATACTGAGGGTAACAGCTCAAATGTTCGCACACGACAAATGTATTATTTATTTATTTATTTTATAATTTCACGGGCAGAAGCTCTTTTACAAATAATACAAGTACATAAATTAGGTAATCGTAACATAGACAAAGATATATACTAAAAATATGTAAATGAATTATTAAACGTAAAGATGGAAGTACAAAATTAAAACGATATTAATTATTAAATATAAAGAAAAGTACAAAAATTAAAATGAAAAATTAGGGTCAACATTGGCATTAGACATAAGACGCCTAAGTGGCTCATTTTTTGCATAATTAGTTAGGTAGTGGGAGACAACAAATGGAGCATTATTTCTTGTTGCTCGCTAAGGTACTCTGAAACATATGAGAGACAATAGGCTCAGCGAATCAATATTGCCATTCAATAAACCAATTAGGATATTAATTCCAGCATTGCGTCTACGCTCAGCTAATGAGGATAGGCCAAGCAAATTCGAGACAGGGGCATAATCGTGATTAGGACAGACTAAGTTGAGCGAGTAGCTGACAAAGCGTAGGAACTTTCGCTGAACTCGCTCAAGCTGTAGCGAGCCCAAGGCAGTATAAGGATCCCACACTACACTATCATATTCCAGAATAGGTCTGACTATAGAACAGAATAGTACTTTAAGTGAAAGTCCTTGCTTGAAATCTTTAGCCAAACGCATAATAAAACCTGACGCTTTAAATGCTTTACAGCAAACATTATCAATATTAAGCATAGGATCAAGATTATAACTAAACTTAAAGCCTAGATTTGTAATAGAGTTTAATTCACACGAGATATTTACTTCAGTAATACTATAGTGAAACTCAACAGGATGTTTTGTTCCATGATACGTAAAGACCTTGCATTTGGTTAAATTAAGTGACAATCCCATAGAATTGAATCATTCAGAAAATCTATTAAGATCATCCTGTAATTTCAAACAGTCATCAATTGAGCTTACACGCATAAATAGTTTGATGTCGTTGGCAAAACAAAGAAAACGACAATGGTGCAAAACTTTATGCACACAGTTTAAGAATTAGGAAAATATAATAGGGGACAAATGACCTCCCTGGGGGACACCAGAAGACGCTAAAAATACATTAGACTTAACGCCGAATACTTTTACCCATTGGTATCGGTCACAAATATAGGAACTAATCCAAGATAGAAGTGGATCACCAAAACCATATTGTCTAAGAACAGTAATAAGGATCGTATGATCCACATAGTCAAATGCTTTACTGAAATCATTGTATATAACATCTACTTGTAATTGATTTTGGAAAGCATTAAAAATATAGTTGGTGAATACAAGATTACAGGAGGAGGATGAGCGACCAGGACGAAAGCCATGCTGTATTATAAATATTTACTATTTAAAAATTTGCATTTTTAATAAAAATGAAGAATTAAGAATATACAATTTATTTTTTTCTTTTAATTAATTTTAATAGGGGGTGCGATCATCCCGTCATCCTAGCTACGATCCGCTGATGAAGTATTTCTTTTATTCATCCTTCATGTTATATAGAGGTAGAAACTTTATTTTAGCTTCGATGCGAAGCTGAGAAAGTATTAGTTTTACTATGATGTATTTTTTTTTTGTGTCTGTTACCACTTTTTCTCAGCTCTCACCGAACCGATTTCTTTCAACAATACGTCGAAAGATCACAAATCGTATCTAGTCGAAGATATTACCCTCAAAAATTAATAACTTATTAACTTTTTCACAAAAAATTAACTTTTTCAACTTACTTTTTGAAAGCGTTTCAGAAAGTCTGATACTTTTATATATATTTTAAATTAAAGCTAATGTAATAAACTTCATTATGGAAAAATAAAATTTCGGACTTTATTTTATCTTCATGGTAAAAATGGCTACCAAACGCTATTTTTGTGTGAAAATTCTCGATTTTATTTTTTACATTTTTATAATACTATAACTTATTGTATGGATCAACACAATTTTTTTATGAGAAATAATAGTTATATCCCTTTTTCATTCGATATACTTTATCTTAATCAGGATATAAATAAGAATATAGTAGATTATGTAATTTTTGGAATCATTTTAAACACCAAAAGTTAATTAGAAATGATTACTATGATTTTTATTGAAATGAAAAAAAAAATAGAACCTATTATTTGTTTAAAGTAAAGAATAGTGATTAAAATAAAATTTTATATAGTCAATAACCAGCTTTGTGACATTACTTTTTAAAATATTAGCATTAAAAGATTTTGGTTAACCAAGTTTAAGTTAAGTTTATTAATATTAAAAATGATATTTCTACGTCTGATGTAATATTTTGATTAAATTATGTAAATATTGCCCAATTAATGTTCTATGCCTTACAAAGTCTAAAACGATCATTAACTCAATAAATACAAAAAAATTCTGCCCCGGGTGAGGATCGAACTCACGACCTTAAGATTATGAGACTTACGCGCTGCCTACTGCGCTACCGAGGCCTTGAAATCAGAGAAAAAAAAAGACCACTTGAATACATTACAGTAATTTAAATAAATTGATATATCTCAGTAACACTTTTAAAAATGTTATGACAAAATTTAAGAAAAGGTGATACTTTTGATTTTTAGTGATTTTTTGTTTTTATTTCAGGCAATTGTTTAAAATATAAAATATAAAATGGAGAATATCAATACAAAAATAGCATATTTTTGAATCTCCCTCTATATACTATTTTACTTATAGTTAGCTATTTTCTTATAATAAGATATACATAGAAGGTTAAACTTATTTAAAATTTTTTGCTTTTTCTAAGTTGAGAAAAATAACTTTGAAATTTTAACTAGCTTAAATTACCAGTTTTATCTACTGAACAAATGCTACATACGGTTGCTGAGGTGGGAACACTTGCGTGCCTCATGCCTGTATTTCACGCATGGGGTACGAACTTCAAACCCCAAATGGGATTGGATTTTTTTCTTAATTCTTTTTGAGTTAGAAAAAGCTTTTCAACTTATTTGATTTTTATCACATTTTGATTCAATAACTTCAATGAATATCAAAGACCCTAACACTGTAGTCTCCTCTCACGAGAAAAAATTTCTTATTAATATTAAAATTATTTTACAATGTGATTTTTTTTTTTTGGCTGTCATTTTTTTCTCAGATGTTACTTAAGCAATTTTTTTTAATGATACGTCAAATTATCACAACTAATATCTAGTTAAAGATATTATTCTCAAAAATTGAAAAAAAAATCACTTTTATCAAATAAAAAGTTGCTTAACCAGCTTTCTCATCTTAATATCTCTCCTATTAATTGTTACACTATTCTTAACTCAACTTCTCTCGATGTAAAATCTTTAGTTATTTCTTTCATTCATTCAGCTGGTTTTTTTATTTAACGATGTTTACTGTAATTTTATTGTAATTTTGTTGATGTAATATCAATTCTACTATTTTTATTATTATTATTATTATTTTTTTCTTTTCTCATTTTATTTAATTGTTAATCTATAATAATATTTTGTATTGAAAGCTAATAAAAAAAAAAAATAAAAAAAAACCAGCTTTCTTCATACAGACAATTAAAATCATTAATTTATAATATTTCTAAAGTATTTATTGTCGAAGTAGATTTGATATTCTAAAAGATTTGAACTAGAAATTATTAATATGATTTTTATTCATGCAATGAATTACGATAAAAATGCAAAAAAATATTAAGCTTTTCTGATAAATTTACTGTAAATAGTAATTATAAAATTTCCTGACTGCATATTAATTGTAACAATATCATTTTTTTAATTCTCATAGAATTTTCTATTTAATAATATCAATTTCAAGTTTGCAAGTTGCGCTTAAAGTACTTCACTTTTGCAGTAACAGTTACTGATCCAAAGTCGGAGTTACACTGATGGATTAGCTTGTTTCTACTTGTTTTTATCATTTTTATTGTTGTTTTTCTTCTACTTCATTTTATTTTATTTTTTGTTATTATATCATCATATTATATAATAGAACAAGGAAAAAAACGCTTTTCTGGGAAAATTACTTAGCGTGCTCAGATTTAAAAAATTTTTTTTTTCAACGAAAGTACTCGGTCACCAGACTCCGAGAAAATTATTGACGATTGTCGGAAAATTTTTGCCGCTCGCCCGCGAGCGTTTTAAAATTTCGACCGTTTTCGAGAAAAACGCTCGCTGACGCCAGCGTTTTACGACTTAAGGTTTGAAATTTTCATCAGACCCGCCTAATGACATTCCTGAGATATGATAAAAAAATCAATTCAATCCGTTCATTTTTCACCGTTTTACGAGCTTTTTTTTTCATGCGCTCGAGACGCCAGGGCGCGCCCCTCGGTATTCTTGCGACACTACGACAATCTCGATATTAACTATGACTCCTAAAAATAAATCAAATATAACTTTGTATATTTTTATAAAAGAATGATTATTTACAAAAGAATGGAGGTAACTATTCTTAATAAATCAAACTGTAGTAGATAAAAAAAGAGTTAGATATTTTGCGAAACGAAAAATAGTAACTTTTTACATGAAAATAAAATGTTTTGTTTTCGATACCGATTACATAAAAAACACAAGTTGTTAGGATAAATTTTTTTTAACTCATGTAAGATTAGATTTAATTTAACATAAGTCTAAACTGGTGAATTTTCTAAACACCTTTAAAAGTTAAATTTAAAGGGTTAGCTTTTTGAGAAAAAGTTGAATTTTTAATCTTTAACAAGAGTTAAATTTTAAAAAAAACCAGCACAGTGGGGTCGCGGCACAGTGGGGACGTGGCATAGTTGGGTCCAGTATAGATTTAATCTGACAGTGATTAAAATCACTACCATTAGAAACGCTTCGATGCAAATCTGTAGATAGTGTTAATTCTAAGAAATTGGTGGATAATTATAAAAGTAAAATATTATTAATTATATATTACATAATTAATTCAATTCAAATTATTATTTTTAATATGATAAAGTAATAATTTCTAACCTAGTTTTTTCGTCCTTTAAAGTGAAAGTTTATAATAAAAAAAGTTCAATTTGTTACCATAACTTTAAGCGCAACTTGCTAGTTAGAAATTGACATCATTAAATATAAAAAATGAAATTGTTAAGATTAATATGCAGTCAGCAAATATTATATATAACTATTTACAGTAAATTTATCAGAAAAGCTCTATTTTTTTTTTTTGCATTTTAATCGTAATAGATCACTTAAATATAAATCATAGTAATCATTTATAATTAACTTTTGGTATTTAAAAAAATTCTACAATTGAAATATACAGAACTGAATTAATTTTAATGATTTACTTTAACTAAAAAAACAATAAAAAAAAACCCAGCACAGGGGGGTCGCGGCACAGTGGTGACGTGACATATTTGGATCAAGTATAATGATATCTGACAGTGATTAAAATCACTATCATAAAAAACGCTTCGATGCAAATCTTTAGATAGTGTTTAATTTTAAAAAATTGGTGGATTATTCCAAAAGCTTCATAAACTGCTAGTTCCTTATTAATATCCTGATTAAGATAAAGTATGTCGAATGAAAAATGGATTATTAAAAAATAGTATTTCCCATAAAAAAATTATATTGATCAATACACTTTTCAATAAGTTATAGCATTATAAAGTTAAAAATGTAAAAAATAAAATCGAGAATTTTCACACAAAAATAGCATTCGGTACCATTTTCACCGTGAAGACAAACTAAAGTCCGAAACTTTTTTATTANCCATTTTCACCGCGAAGACAAACTAAAGTCCGAAACTTTTTTATTATTTAATAATTTATTTTTTATTTTAAGTTGAAAAAGTCAATTTTTTGTGAAAAAGTTGTCATTTTGAATCCCTTCCTGTAGGCAGGTAAAAAGTCAGATTTATAAAAAAAATATACCAAATGATAGGTAAAGACATCATGCATCTACAAAAAAAAGAATTATATTGATCCATACATCTTTCGAGAAGTTATAGCATTATAAAGTTAAAAATATAAAAAAGAATTTTTTTACAAAAATCGTATTTTTTTTATTAAGTTTAATGTCTGTTTTCACCATGAAGATAAAATAAAGTCCGAAATTTTTTTTTACCATTATAAAGTATATTACATTAGCTTTAATTTAAGATATATATAAAAATGTCAGACCTTCCGGAACACTTTCAAAAGTTAAGTTGAAAAAGTTCTACTTTCTACAAACATTTTTATGTTTTGAATCCCCCATGTATTAAGGGAAATAATCCGATTTAAAAAAAAAGTATGTCGAATAAAAGATCTATATGAATACTACTTCTCATAAAAAAATTGTAATGATCCATACATTTTTCAAAAAGTTATAGCATAATAAAGTTAAAAATGTAAAATACAAAATCGAAAATTTTCACACAAAAATAGCATTCGGTAGCCATTTTCACCATGAAGATAAAATAAAGTCCGAAATTTTTTTTTTGCATAATAAAGAATATTACATTAGCTTTAATTTAAGATATATATAAAAGTGTCAGACCTTCCGGAACACTTTCAAAAGTTAAGTTGAAAAAATTAATTTTTTGTAAAAAAGTTGTCATTTTAAATCCCCCCCTGTGGGCAGGTAAAAAGTCAAATTTATAAAAAAAATATACCAAATGATAGGTAATGACATCATGCATCTACAAAAAAAAGAATTATATTGATCCATAAATATTTCGAGAAGTTATAGCATTATAATAAGGTTAAGGGTTAAATTTATAAAAAAAATATACCAAATGAAAGGTAATGATATTATGCATCTATATAAAAAGGAATTATATTNAAAACTTAGCGATTTCTAAATTTGTAATTTTTTTGGAGGTTTCTCCCATTTTGGGGGAACGAGGGAAAGTTTTTCAATTTTTAAGGGTAATGTCTTCGACTAGATACGATTTGTGATCTTTTGACGTATCGTTGAAAGAAATCCGTTCGGTGNAATATGTTTATTTTTAAAAAAGTTAAGGCAGTTTTTAGTAAAAAAAATTGAAAAAATTTCGAAAATTAACCATTTTTAAATTTGTAATTTTTTCGGAGGTTTCCCCCATTTACGGGGGACGAGGGAATTTTTTTCTATTTTTGAGGGTAATGTCTTCGACTAGATACGATTTGTGATCTTTTGACGTATCATTGAAAGAAATCGGTTCGGTGAGAGCTGAGAAAAAGTGGTAACAGACACAAAAAAAAAAAAAAAAACACATCTTAGTAAAACCAATACCTTCTCAGCTTCGCATCGAAGCTAAAAATTTAAAAAAAATTAAAAAGATCTACTCAATTGAGCGTATTATATAATTTGATTATAATTGTAAAAATCAATTGTTAAATTTCTTTTTTTTTAGATTTGTGTTTTATATAGCAACATGTTACTAAAAAATTTGGAATATTATAGACTGTTAGTAACTCATACAAATAGATTTAAAAAATTAATAAATTACAAAGTAAAATTATTTACCTTTGCAGTTGAATACTTTTATCATATCAAATGTAATTCGACAATAAATACATTAAAAAGATTAGAAATGAATCATTTTGATTTTTTATATGGATAAAGCTGTTTAAGGTACTTTTTATTTGATAAAGGGATTTTTTTTCAATTTTTGAGGGTAATATCTTCAACTAAATACGAATTGTAATAATTTGACATAACGTTGAAAAAAGTAGGTTAATTAAGAGTTGGAAAAATAAATCGCACAAAAAGAAACACATAGCAAAATAATATTAACATGAATAAGAAATTTCTTATCATGATAGGAGACTACAGTGATGGATTCCTTGATATTTATTGAAGTTAATGAATTTAAATGAGATAAAAATAAAATGATTCAAAAATTTTTCTAACTTAAAAAAAATGCAAAATATTAATTGCCACAAACCCAACCTAGAAAGACACAAGTGTTACCGATTCGGCAACTGTTCGTCGCTATCGTCGATAAATAAAATTGGCAATTTAAGCTATTTTAAATTTTAAAAAAAGCAAAAAAATTTAAATAAGTTTAACTTCTAATGTCTTATGAAATTTATTCTAAATAATAATATAAGTTTTAATTTAAGATTATATAAAAGTGTCAATATTTCCGGAATTTTTTAAAAAATTGAAAAAACTTAACTTGTGTGCAAAATTTTTTTTTTTTTAATTCCCCCTGTGGGCAGGTTTAGAGTCAGATTTTCAAAAAAATTATATCAAATGAAAGAAAAAATAAGGTTTCAATATAAAAAAATAATTTTAATTTGTTCATTTTTCAAAAAGTTATGGCAGTTTAAAGTATTAAAATATTTCATGTTAAACAGCTATTTTTACATAAAATTTAAAAGTTTCGTTAAATTCGACGGCCATTTTCCTATAGAAGAAAAGGTGTCGTGACAAATTTTTTTTTTTAAACTTACAATATTTATTGTAAATTTTAATTTGACCTATATTTAAAGGACGCAGTATTTTCGGAACATTTTCAAAAGTTAAGTTGAAAAAGATCTACTTTTTATACGTATTTTTCAAGTTTTGAAAGCCTCCAGTATAAAGTAAAATTGTCCAATATAAATAAAAAGTATGTTAAATGAAAGAGGTATATATAATGTATTTAAAACAAAATTTGTATTGATACATACATTATTCTAAAAGTTATAGCAATTTAAAGTTGAAAATTTAAAATCGAAAATTTTAATACAAAAATAGCATTTTTTAACTACGGCAGCCGTTTGCACGTAGAAGATAAGGTTCGGGACAAATATTTTTTTTCGTTTTATAGTAAATGTCATAAGCTTTAATTTGATATGCTTCTATGGAATACAGTATTTCCGGAACATTTAAAAAATTAAGTTGAAAAAGCTAGTTTTTGTAAAAAAGTTGCCATTTTAAATCCCCATCTGTAAGCAGGTTAAGTGTTACATTTTCAAAAAAATGTTATCAACCGATTTGAAAAATTTGTTATTTTTGGGGGGATTTCCCCTATTTACGGGGAACGAGGGAATTTTTTCCAATTTTTAAGGGTAATATCTTCAACTAGACACGATTTGTGATCTTTTGACATATTGTTAATCAAAATCGGTCCAGTAAGAGCTGAGAAAAAGTTGTGACAGACAAAAAAATAAACACATCATCATAAAGTTAATATTTTCTCATAGCTTCGCATCGAAGATACAATGTAGTTGCTAAAATTATATAACCTGTTTAATCATGTCTGTTCAACAAAATTTTTCATAATAGCTATCGAAAATTTACAAGTCAAAATATACGAATCCTACCAATTTATTAATAACACAACTGATTGCATTGGAAGAAGTCTGTTATCAGTTGTTATTTTATTAAAAATATACATGAATATGCTAATTATTTGTGTATACTGTAATAAAAAAAAATTAAACTTACTTTTGTAAACTACATTAAACACAACGCAACCATTACATTTTATTTAATACATGTCTTCTAATGAAGGTCTAAACATTTTTTTTAATTATCCAAGAATTTCATCAATTAATAAATAACCTAATGTTATGAAGAATTTATATATAAGGATCTAATTAATTTTAAATTACTGAAAGATATTTATTAGAAGTGAAGAATAAAAAAATAGTCATCATAGTATAACAAATATTTTCTCAGCTTCACATAAGCTAAAGAAATTATTTTTATCCGAACCTTAAGATAAGACACATATAGTGTTCAGTAAGTAAGGAAACAAATTTCTATTATTCTCATTAGTGTAACAATTGACATGTTTTCTAACTTATTAAACACTCTGAATATGTCTTATATAATGGTGTATTAAATATATATAAATAAAATTTTCAACGTTAGACATATTTTCAACATATTTATACATCTATGTCTTAATTATTACTAATTTCGACGACTTAGAGCAAGCCTCGGTAGCGCAGTAGGCAGCGCGTAAGTCTCATAATCTTAAGGTCGTGAGTTCGATCCTCACCCGGGGCAATAGTTTTTTTCTTTATATTAAAAATTATTTAGCACCTTTCCATTCTTAATTTGTCTAATATTATAAAATAAAATAAAATGTATTATAACTAATAAAATATATAATATTTTCCTCTAAAATATTATAAAATCAAAACCTCTTTTATTTCTCGACCTCAATAAAGAATACACTAACACTATTACACATTTAATTCTGACTTTTGGCGACTATAAAGTAGCCACGATTTAATGCCTTTCTTAGCGTCTTCGAGGCATCACAAAATTATTAAAAAAGGAATATTAATAATAATAACTCTTTTGCGTTTATTCGAATACAGACTGATGACTAAATGTGTCTATTAAAAAAATATGACACATTCAAGACGTCCAGTCCCCGTTTATGCCGTTTGTGGCACATTATATAAGGTCTGAAGACTTTGTTATTCCTCTCACTCACTTATCTCTTTTTCTCACTCAATCTCTTTTATCAAGTAACTGTCTGAGACTATTCCATACATACTCTAGTGTATTCTTTATAATGTGTCTTTATTGTGTTAACTTTTCTTATTTAGTTTAAAACGTACATTTGTTAAAATAATTAGCACTTTTCATAGTAATAAATACGTTTTTATTAAACAATTCTCTTTCATTAACATACCTACTATAAACACTTTTAACAACTACAAGTTAACAATCAAGATTCTATCATCATCAGTAAATATTACTAACTTATTAGATAAGAGTAGTTTTAATATACTAACTATATATATTAAGTAATAACCCTAACCTTAACTTAAATAATATAAATCCCTTTAAACGGCTTTCTTTTGGTTATTACAAGTATTTACTTTCAAATTAATATAATTAATACATTCATAATAAACTTAAGAATGTAAATTATTATTTTTGCTAGATTATACATATGGTTTGATAAACATTGTTATCAAGACTCAAAGAAAAGCTCAGATTAAATGGTAGACATGGCTCCTGAGTGTCATATTAAAACAGAAAACAATTGGAAATATTTATCATTCGTAATTGTTGTACTGTTAGCGTCTTATTTAAGGTTTGGTTTCTGTGCCTTAGAAACTAAATATTATTGATTTTTTATGCATTAAATTTGACGATTGTTGATGAAGAGTATAATTATTCAACTAATGAAAGGCCTATGTTAAAATTAATGTATGTATTTCTCTTTTTTATTTTTCTTGGAAAATATTGAAAATTATCGTAAAGGATAAAATTACTTAATTCGTAGACGCTCAATGAATGTGGTTTTGAATTGAGAGTAAAAGTGAAAAATTGAATAATAAGTAAATATATATAAACTACTTATAAATGAGAGTAACGTAATACTTGTGCATCTTAATGTACGCACTCTTAGTTTCAATTCAAGGATCTACTTTTATTACTTCATTTCTATTTCACTGTATTGCGCCAACAGTCCAACAAGATTGTTGACCCAGTTAATGAAATCATAATAATTCAAAATTTATATTATTATCTATTCCATTCTACCATACAACTAGTCACCGGCACAATATTTGCTGGATCAATTTTCCAACATGAATCAACGAATGAAAACCATCAATTTAGGTAATTGTTTTCATACTAATATATTAACAATTGAAGTATCTAAGATAAAAAGTCGTTTAAATTGTTGTTTTTTTACCACAGTGATCATCGTGTTCTTACAAATTATAAGTACAGCATTTTCTGTGGAGCGTGAGTTTAACCAAACCGATGTCACTCGGGTTGTTCAGTTTAGTAATAGTTTAATTCCTCCTTTATTTTCTGTAAGCTTTTACGTAAAAAAAGAAATATATTTGAATTTTATTGGAAAGATTTTTTTTAGTATTATTCTAAAGGACGAGAAAATCTTGTTCTCGCTCCTTTCGGAGTAGCTACTAATGTAGCTATGATGCTTGAGTGTCTTCAGGGTCGAGCAGCAGACGAAATCATTACATTGTTTCGATTACAAGCCAAAGGTTCGAGACAACAGCTTCGAAGAGGGTTTAAAGCTATTCTAGACAAATTTGAGGTAAGATTGTACGTCTATCCTATTAATAAGAGAGTTTTAATATCAAAAAAGTTTGAATATGATAAGTCATTTATCCAGGACCACATATAATAACTGTGTTGCCCGTATTACTGAATTCTGCCGCCCCCAAAGAACTTTTTATGTAGCTTATCAAAAACATTATTCTTTATTTTTTTATATATACTCGCACCTAGTATTATTAAGAATATCCTTAATATTTAACTGCTTTTGCATTGTTATTTTATTTCTAATGAAAATGTAATCACAGAATGAATTGGAAGGTGATTTTGCTGGTTCCTACAATAAGGCCTCTTTGACGAGTTCACGTATTATGCCATCATCATTTGTCAATAAACTTTCCAAATATTACCAAGCTAACGTTACTACTGTGCGGGGTAAAAACTCTGATAATATTACAAGTAAGTAAATATCATAATTTATCGTCGAAAATATTATACTTATTTAGTCATTATGAAAAATGAACAACTAAAAGCTATTTTTAAAAATATATTTAGAAATGAAAATATATACTTATCATTGAGTCAAAAAAAAAAATCATACAATCGATACATAATATGTTTAAAAGTAATCTTTGTTTTAAATACCGTGTTGATGTTATATTATTTTTAAACAAAAATGTTTAAAAACTTCAAAAACCTGAATTATTGCATAATTTAGAAACGTTTTGGTATCGATCAATTATGTATTCGATAATTTGCCGTTCGGAACTACATTTTGTCACTCCTACTCATAATGTTGTTAAAATTAAAACTTTGAGTTTGATTGGGTAAGTGAAATGATGCCGCTTAGAATGTTCACTCCATTAGCCTTTACATAAGTACATCTTTTGGTGAGGCTGTAATTTCAAAAGTTTTTAAGGTATAATATAAGTAATATTACCAATTCTTTCAATTTTAGCTGATATTTTAGAATTACGTAGCGATACGGGACTTATTAGTCATTGGAAAAATTACCAAAATTTTGCTACCAACACATATTTATCATATTTACCATCTGCTCCTTTTACGCTTGCCAATGGTTCAATTGTTTATGTTCCTATGATACCTCAAGGTGGACAGTATAAAATTGGATACGTTGAACGACTCAAATGCCTAGCCGTTGAACTTATGTTTGAAGTAATATATGATTTACTTTTTTACTTATTTATGTAGGCGTAATTAATAATAATTAAAGTGGCTAAATTAACTCTCTCCCGCCCTAAAAATATTTTTTATGAATATAATTACAAATTTTTCTAAATGTTTGGAGAGGGCTAATTCTTTAATTGAGAAGTTAAGGCCCCTCTATAGTCCGTATTTGTAATTTTTCTTATTTATAAAACTTTTTTGAAAGAATATAATCTTATGCATTTTATTAGAGATCATGACCGTTTTTACGAAATTTATTTATTATGATATTTCTTGTATGTACTCTTCAATGTTATAAAATACATTTTTAATGATATTTCAAAGAAAATGCATTATTATTACTTTAAATTTAATCTAATGAATAATTTCTGATAAATAACTTTCTTTTTATTTTAAAAATTTAAACTATTTTTATAAAATCAAACTAAATATTTATAAGTTAAAAGTATAAGTATAAGTTTTAAAGTTGTAATAATTACATATAGATAATTAATATTCTTTATTTTAAAACAAATAGAATCTAATTTAAATTATATTGGATTAAATAAGATTATATTAGATACATGAAAATTATCATGTAAGTACTTATTTTGGCTAAGTTTTATGAATGAGATAACTCTTTTATGTTATAACACTGAGATTTATTTTTTAACTTATTATCTTAAAATAAATTTTAGTCGTTGAAATTTTTAGTCTTGGTGTAATTAATGTTCTGCATTAACCATACATAATAATCTTGTTTTTATTTTTAGACACCTACTGTGAGCATGTTAATTATGATGCCTGACAATGTTGATGGTTCTGAATTATTAATTGATCGATTGGCCAGAGATAATTTCCTTGATATCTTAAATTCGTTAGGTCAACAAGAAACTCAGATATTAGTACCCCAACTTGCAGTATTTACCAATGCTCTTGACTTAGAACCATTCTTCACTAAATTCGGGGTCAAAACAGTTTTCAACAAGACAATTGAAACAGTTAATAGTACAAATATAAATAGCTTTAATAACAACACTATGAATGGAAGTAAGAGCAACGGAAGCAAGTTACCCAAATCCACTTTAATTTCGCTGAAGCAAAATGCTTACTTCTCAATGTCATTTATCACAATAAACTCAGTTGGTTCTGTAGGTACAAAATTAGGTTGGTATAGTTTGATGTTATATATACTAAATCAGTGGCGCAACTAGGGGGAGTTGGAGGGTTGTGTCCTCCAGAAAATAAAAGTGATTATTGAATTATAGCAACATATAACCACTTTTTTGACCTTCAATTTATTTTGGACACTTTTTCTCCAAAAAAATTTCTTGTTGCGTCACTATTAATCGTTTAATTTATATCCATAATATAAATAATTATAATAATATGATAAAAAAACTTTTACAATGATATTCTAGGAATACATCCAAATACAAACAGAAAGAAACGGGAAATACTTTCCAAAATTATATTTGATAAGCCATTTGTATTTTTAATACTAAATAAGGATACTGGATTGATTCTATTAGCTGGTAAAATTACTAATCCTACGCAAGTGCCATCAAATTCCTAAACATATGATCATAATTTAGTCAAGTCATTTCTGAAAATGATAGGAAAAGTATTAATGTAAATCATATAATTTACTGAATTATCATAGTAATATGAATAAATCAATTAAAATGTCGATCTTTATATTTTTTAAGTTATCCACGATGTAACCAAATTATAAAATGATAATAGTTTTTAAGGAATAACCTGTTTTTCAGTTTGAACTTTTCCAAAAATAAATACACTATCACATGAAAAACAAATTACTGATGTAAAAATTAGTAAATTTAGATTGTAAATTATGTATTTTTATTTATTTTTAATAAACCAATTTATAGATAAAAAACATATATATATTTTTTTTATGTAAGAATAGGGTGATAGATCCCAAGAAAAAAATACAATTTCTTTTACATTAAATGGAAGCAATGAGCATTTTTTTACGTATATCCCCTTAGGACACTATCCCATTACACCACTACAAAAATTTCTTTTTCAAATATACTAATAGGATCATGGAAAAAATGAATTTTGAACAAAATTTAATAATCTTTGTACTTATAAACTTATAATAATTTTTCGACTAAAAAAACCATAACCGTGTTTGTCAATTACAGCTCCTCTCCGAAAAAGGCCAAGATGCTGAATTGATTAACTTTGTTCTGTATTTCAATATACTTCAAAGAAAGATTGAGGACATTTTTTTCACAATTTTATTTTTAATAGCTCCATAAATTTTCGTGCTCAAAATCATTTTAAAAGTAAGATTTTTGGTTGTCACAGGAATTTTGGAGAAGCTCATGCCGCTCGACCACTTTACATAAATACGTATCAAATATAATTTTATTAAAGAGTGAATTCTCTGAAATTATAAGTATATTATGCTCCTTTAATAAAAATCAAGCTTTGTATTTTAAATATTAGAATGATTTAAAATCCTAGTGAATTTTATTACTGTAAGGTTTATTTTATTTTTTATGCCAAAATTCTTGTAATATCAGCAACATATATATTTCAATATTAAATATACCAAACATTTCTTACATAAATGGAATTTCTGATTGCTTGGACTTAATCAATGGTCTTGTTTAACTAATATATTTGTAACTGTAAAATTATAATATTAATAAACTTAAAACTATTATGTTTTACCAATATTTCGCAAGGCCTCGGTAGCGCAGTAGGCAGCGCGTAAGTCTCATAATCTTAAGGTCGTGAGTTCGATCCTCACCCGGGGCATTTAGTTTTTGTAATTTTTACAAATTTTTTGCTATAGCAAAATATAATGCAATTAAAAATTTATTTATTTCATGTATTTATGTTTTGTATAATACATCATCTTTTTACTCGTAAAAAAATGTAGCTATTATTTCATTAAAACCCTTTATTACTTTTTTTTTCTATGCTATTAATGTTTTAGTTTTACAAAATACACTATAGTAAACTGGGGTAATAGTCTATACAGGGTATGAATCTAATAAATAAATAATTTTATTTTATAGTTATGAGCTTAACATTTATTATTTAATGGCTGATAAATATAAAACCTTGGAACATTTTTATATGTATTTTTAATCATTAAAAAATCTTCAAGATAAAATTTAATATATTATGAAGACTACTAAAATACTTTTGTCATAACATGTTATATTTTGTTTTTTATGAATACTATTATAAGTTTGTAAAACACTTTAAATATTTTTTTATTGGATATTTAAGTATTACTTGTGTTATAAATATTGAGTAATGACATATGTTTTATTTTCGCCCACAATTTTTGGCGTGTAATTAAAAAAAAAATTTGTGATTTAAGCCTAAAGTTATTTAAAATAATACGTTTTATACTTTTGTTGAAATAATTGAAATGTATACATTATTTTATTCAATTTGAATAATAATTATTAGATTAGTTATTAATTTAATAATAAAGAAGTTTCACTTCAATTATTACTACAATTTTTTTAGCTTCGATGCGAAGCGGAGAAGGTATTAATTTTACTATGATGTGTTTTTTTTTTTTTTTTTTTTTTTTTT